TTTACATTTTAAAATGTTTAAAATGTTTTCACTTTTTCGCCAATCTCATTTTTACCATTTTTTTTTTTACAAAAGTGTCACATTGTTGCAGGTCCTCCTGTAATGTCTGTTATACCGCCAAGCCACCATACAATATAATAAAACTCTGCCAATCACATCCTGCTTTGTAGCTCCACCCTTTCCGATAAAGCCCCTTTTCCCTCGAACACCACGCACACGCCCAGTACAGTAACCCCTACCAACAAGTACAGTCTGGCTGAGGAGAGCTGGACTACCTACCTGTGTGGTATTATATATCAGTGTCTGCTTCCTCCCGTTATATATTCAAACTTTTTTTTATAATAAAGTTCTTTAAATCCTTTAAATAGTTCACCTCAATTATTTACCACTTTTTACCTCTCCGTTATTGTTTCTATTATTATTATTATTATTGTACCCATCAGCAAAATTAAATACGCAATGTCCTCACTTTCTTTCAACGTTCATAAAAAATTCAGCCAGTCAGCTTAAATACCAGCCACCAGCTGCGGTGGAAACAATTATGAATATTTTATATTTGTTGCTGTTGTTGGCAAAATTGGAATATTCTGTATTGTTATTGCGAAGCTGCATTGTGTGGTTATTATTAGAACTTATACTAAAGGTAATAAGACACATAAAAGACGAAATATTGACTGCAGCTTGTAAGGCTGGCCCCTCCTGTATGGCTCTTACTATCACAGTTAGTGATCACCGTCGCTGCTATCACAGTGCTGCCACAACCATCACAGTGACTGATTCTGACACTATTGCTCAGGGACGTGCGGTCAGGGGAGGCAGAGCCTCACCTACTAATATGCAGGAAAAAGCTGCCAGCTTCAAGTGTGAAGCTGACAGCTTTTTCTCCATTCAGATCGACTTGTTACAGGTTATACAGCATGGAAATCCTACCCGCTGTGCAATCTGTCATGGACGGAGCGCTGCCTGTTAATTACAGGCAGCCCTGCATCCGGCTTTTAGCAGGTAGTTAGGTTGCACAGCAGCGGGCTTCCCCACTGCTTGTGTAACCCAACTTGGTGAGGCAAGAGCTGTCACAGCCTCTAATCTCTGTTAGAGGCGTGAGCTCTGTGGATGGCTTGGACCAATGGCAAAGCGCCAATGGTCCAAGCTGTCCAATCAAAAAAAAACCACTGAGGCCATCGATCTTGATGCCTCAGCAGTGACGAGCAAGTGAGGGACATGTCCCTGTCTCCTCACTTCCTCCTCCCCACACAGCTTGATTTTCGAGCTGGGGTGGAGCTTCAACGTGACAGGGTGGAGCTTCAGAGGGACGGGGCGGAACTTCAACAGGCTGGGGGGTGCCTCACCCAGCCCAGAAGGCACGGCACGTCACTGCTGTTGCTATACCTACTATGAGGGGAGGCCAATAAGTTCTTACCCTCACCAAGATCCAGATGTGCTAGGGGATCTGAAATTTAGTCCACTGACTCTCCCTTCTCTACATATCCACCTCCTATGGTTACACACTTTTCACATCTGTGAAACAGACCTTTAATACCATCTGCGTAGAAGTATGCAGATTTGGAGGAAAACCAGCTATCAACTTCAGTAATGACTGCCTCATTATTGTGGAAACGTCTACCCCGTAAATGTTTCTTCAGATTTGGAAACAGGAAGAAGTCTGAAGGTGCTAGGTCAGGTGATTAAGTTGCAGTGACGTCACAAAGGGGGTGCGGCCGGCACCCGGGTGTCACCATTGCAGGGGTGACAACAAAATGACTGACAGTCATTTTGGTGTCAGCCCTCTCTAAAAAGTTGGGCACTCGGTCATGGACCGAGAGCCCGACAGTGTCAGGAGAGAGGAGGGGAACGTCCCCTCCTCTTTCTGCCGGCGTCCATCACCAAGATGGACACCGGCAGGCATCGATCAGATGGTCACGCACGCGATGACATCATCGCGCATGCGCGAGGTGATGTCATGCGCACACGCAATGACGACACGGCGGGGTGTCACCCGGTATAGAGACTGGATGAGACCCAGCCTCAGGACGGCCCTGGTAAGTTGGATGGGGCAGAGATTCATAGTCACAATCGCGAACAAAAGTGATCGTTTCTGCAGCTCGATGTGCAGGTGCATTGTCAGCTAGCAGCAACGCAGCTCGGTATTCAACTTTGCCTGCCATGACACCTACTCCTTTTGTCTTGGCTCTAACTATATTTCACCAAGACCTACAAAAACAAAAATTGCCATACATACTACTAAGGTATTCCTCCTATAAACCTGCAAAATTTCAGTTCCCTAGCACATCTAGATCATGGTGAGGAAGAACCTCCCCTCCCTCCCCTCGTACTAATGCTACGAGGGGAGGCCCCGTTCACCGTGACTACCACCACTGTTACAAAAAGAATATTTGCTGGAAATTACTGCTACAACCACAACTACAACTACTTACCACAACTATCACAACTAATGCTATAACCGCCTCTACTACCACAATACCACAACTAATGTTATGACCTCCATCAACACTACGTCTCCACTGCTACCACTAGGGAGGAGCGGTGGGGTTCAGCCTAAATTGATTTTTGCCAAAGCAGACATTTTCAGTTTTGTTTAAAATTTGCTTGCCAAAAGGGTGGATTTTTAGGGGGTTATTCACAAAGCTGCCGAATAGCCGAGCCGAAGTGAAGTGAGCCGAACGATGTTCGGCTATTCACTTCAGCCTTGTACAGCTGATTTCAGCCTGTACAGCAGCCCTTCGGTTCGACTGGACCAAAGGGCTCAGGGGGCCGAAGAATCAACCAAAGCTACGGCTGGATCCTTCGGCTCCATAGCGAATAACCCTCTTTCTACTATTTCCGTGACTATCAATGTAAGGAGCATTCTTCCCAATGACCACCAATGTAAGGAGTATTCTTCCCAATGACCACCAATGTAAGAAGCATTCTTCCCAATGACAGCCAATATAAGAAGCATTCTTCCCAATGACCACCAATGTAAGAAGCATTCTTCCCAATGACAGCCAATGTAAGAAACATTCTTCCCACTGATAATGTACCATAAGCAGTGGATAAATCCCCAGGGGTTCCCTGAGACCTGGAAGTCATCCCAAGGGTCCTTCCATGTTAAAAACGTTGATGTAAGGTATAACATAGCATACAGAGTGCAACAGTCTTCAGTATGACGGCATCCGTCAGGATTATAAGTTGATTCATTAAAGGCAAATAGGCTGTTCACTTGGCAAGGAAATTTCCCCTTATCTTAGTGAATGTGATGAAAATTCACCCAATCACAAGCAAGGAAAATAAAAGAAAGTATGCTTGCAATTGGTTGGATAATGGAAGTCAACAGAGCTTTACCAAATGTAACTAAGCTAAGCAAAAATCTCCTTGCAAGTGAATAGACAATTTGCCTTTAGTAAACCAACCCCACAGAGTGCAGTGGTTAGCACTATGAACCGTACGACGTAATCTATACAGTGTAGCAGTCATGAGTTTGTACATACAACACAATGTATAGGGTGCAGTGGCCAGGACTATGTAACATATAGAGCACAGCAGTCAGGGCTATGTAAGGTACAACACGGTCAGCAGGCAGAGGTCAGGACAATGTAATGCACAGCACAACTTACAGAGTGCAGTGATAAGGAGTAAGTGCCCACTTGAACTGGTGATCGCTGACAAAATGTTTTGCTGACATGTTGGTGGGTTTTGGTAAGTAAATACCCTATGAAATGGTGGTCAGTGGTGAGTGACCCCTAAATGTAGGTGGTCAGTGGTGAGTGACCCCTAAATGTAGGTGGTCAGTGGTGAGTGACCCCTAAATGTAGGTGGTCAGTGGTGAGTGACCCCTAAATGTAGGTGGTCAGTGATATCCGTGCTCCTATTACATTGATGTACAGTGGTGTGAGTCCCCCCTATTACATTGGTGTTTAGTAGCATGTATGTCCCCATAGCATTGGTGTTTAGTAGCATGTATGTCCCCATAGCATTGGTGCTCGGTGTCCCCCTGATGTTGGTCATCATTGGGAGCATTAATGTCTACTTATATACTCGAGCCAATCAACTGCTAGCTCCAATCAGCCCAAAAATTTCCATCCGAGTTCTCTGATCAGCTAAGCAGAGGGGTGCTGACAGTGGCACCCACAGTACAAATTTCAGTCGTTTCACCTGAAATAGGCCAAAATTGGAACCGTGTGTACCTGACTTTAGTTCAGTGATGGGAACCCAAGGAAATAACCAGTTCTTCTGGCTATGAAAGAGCATGTGACCCACTCCATGTGGCAGCATTGGACCAACCATTAATGAGTGTTTGTGACTCATATCACACATGATATGAGTCAGGGCACCACATGATGCTGGTTGGATGGTTGGTTCTCCCGATGTATGAGGTATGTCTGCTGGGTAACATAGTCAACAGATGATCTTCTACACCAAGCACACACCCTGACTTGAAGGGTACACCTGCTGGTGGGTAGTAGATGTACATGCTAAAAGCACTAGAACATGCTGCCACCTGTTGGGGATCCAAGAGACTGCAGGCACATTAAATCCCATACCCCTATATTTAAATGAGAAAGAGGGTGAGAGGCATCACAACATACACTCTCTGCACGCCGCAGAGATGAATAATAAAATGACTCATACAGCAGTGCCGTATTGCCGTATGTATTCCTCAATTGTCAAGGTTTAGTCACACATAAATATTTTATCTGTTTGTTCTCTACCTTGGCAGGAAGGATGAAGCTGATTGAAGGTCATTTCACACTGTAAAATAAAAGTTAAGATACACAGAAGAGGTTTTAATTTATGACTCTAGTTTGAAGAGGCGTTGGGCCCACATTTTATGGAGTTTACAACGTGGCAGAGGGCCAACATCTGTCAACTGTCATGGTGCCACCATTGTCTGGAGTCACCCAGCATTGAGAATGCGGCCCGGTCTGGCGTGATGCTTCTTGGCGCTCCTTGTTCTCTTTGATGATATTTCACAGTTGTTTTTCCCTCTTTTGTCTTTCTTCAAGATTCCACAAAGAAGCTGAAAGACGTCTTGGAAGAATTTCATGGCGATGGCGTGCTGGCAAGATATAATCCAGAAGAGGTATTCTTTTACATGTATCATTGAACTAAAGACTGACTTCACTGACTTCCATTACAAGTAGAACCCCATGGGCAGAACCCAGTTCTTTATACCTTTGGACAACCCCAGGCTCTTTATACTTTTGGACAACCCCAGGCTCTTTATACATTTGGACAACCCCAGGCTCTTTATACCTTTGGACATCCCCAGACTCTTTATATCTTTGGACAACCCCAGGCTCTTTATACCTTTGGACAACCCCAGGCTCTTTATACCTTTGGACAACCCCAGGCTCTTTATACCTTTGGACAACCCCAGGGTCTTTATACCTTTAGTCCTCTTCTTATTTCCATCTTCTTCAAAGACATCATTCACACTGGGGGAATTATGAGGTGAGTGCTTTTCACTCACCTCATAGTTCCAGCCGACATGTGACAATGAGACTGTCACAGGTCGGCTCAGTAGATCGGGAGGTGAGCGAACACATACCGGCGTTCGCTCACCTCTCGATCCTGTCACGGCTCTCTGCCGTGACAGGGGAGG